CTTTGGACATATTTACATTAGCTCTAAGTCATAAAATTACTGCTGGAAACTTATGAGCATTAAAAGATAAAACATTAAATGAAAAGTTAGAATAGACCTCTATCATAGAAACTAGAGTAATTTTTTCATTTTTATAACTCAGAATGAAATTCTTCTGCTTAACAATATTCTTGATTTTTCCCAAAATGGTAGAATTACAGAAATACTTCATAAAAGTTTTCACCTCTAATCAAAGAGCTTAATAATCTTTAATTGTTTAAAATAATTTTACTCATTTAATTGCTGGTAACACTTAAAAAGATTGTATTGTAGATTTCCTTAAAGCTATCAAGAATATGTATTATAAATACTAAAGGAGATAATCACAATTAAATGATTTTTTTAAATGTTCGAGTCATACTTAAAATTTCCAATTTTTAGCCATCTACCTTGTAAAAGACTTTCATCGTTAAGCTTTGTGTAAAGAACATGAGAGCCAAGAAATAACTCTTTACACATAATATAAGCTTCTTGAAAACATAGCTCCAGTGTTACTATTTTCTACATAATATAGACAAAAATCACCTCATTCAGAAATTCAAATTTGTCAAATCCTTTATTTAACAGGTAGCAGTTGTGGCCTGAAGAAGTTCTTCGATGACCAAGTCCTTAACTCCTTCAGTCTGAGCGCTAATAAAAAGTATCAAGTTTACCAAAAAGTTTAAGAGAATGAATCCATCGATGTTGTATTTGAAGGAGAATTTTTTTTTCTGGATCTTCCTCTACTGATACAATAATAGACAACACAATCTAAGACCCTTTAGTTATAATGTGACTTCAGAAAGTATTTCCTTTTGAAAAAAGAAAATGCCTTTTGAACAGAACACTCCAAATATTTAAGTTATGGTATGTATAAAAGAACTAAGAGATAAAATGCACACAATCACTACTTATTACATTTTTCGATGTACGTGCAAAGCAAGTCAAGCTTTAGCAATACATCATAAAAACCTTATAAGTTAAATTCTAAATCAGCTTCAAAAGGCCTGTAGCATGTGTTCCAAGAGATATTTCTGGTTAAAAAATACTTCTAGTCATTTAAACCTCTCATATATAGCAAAGTTGAATTCCATAATGTCTTACAGGCTTATGATTTTGCCAAGGATGATATACTTGCTTGTCTAGTCCGGGAAAAAAATATGTTTAAGATGACACTGGGAATACCCCAGGCAGGTAACTGTTCTCTGATTGTACAATATGCAACCTGTCTACTCTCTGCATCAACAGCAGCAGCATCCTGTGGGCCGCGTGTACACAGGAGGTCCTGCCAAGTCACTTGGTATGCATGCAGCAATGAATTTATCTCCCGGTACTAAATCCTCACCTCAGATATCAATACTGTCATAGAGAACCAAAATGTAATGGCTGTAAAGTTTTTACTGGCCAATGTTTACAAATATTAGGTAATGACATGTACTTGTTCAAGAGAACCACGCTCCCAATCCCGTCTCTAAAGATCAACACATTTTAGTAGATATCATATATTTGATGTTCCTCCTTTCCTCTGCCCACTAAAAACAAACAAAACAAATCAGAAAAACAGAAAAAAACACCACTACAAAGCTAAATTACCAAACCCTTCAGTCCTGTTAATGCAAACAGGAAATGCCAGGAAGTGTAATAAATAACTAGGGCCCAAACAGCCATTTTGTAATGGGTAACTCAGGCCTTACTGGGCTAGTTAGTCCTTCACTTTTTCTCACCCTCCCATCTTCTCCCCTACACAAGCCCGTTACTTTATCAGCAAAACACCTTGCAGGAATACCTATGAAGCAAACTTTATTTAGTTTTTTCAAGATCGGATATTGGGAAAGGTGTTTCATAATTAGGCATTACAACAAAATGAGGGGCTGATAACTACTGTCTACAGTTTGGTAACCCAAAATGAATATTTGATTTATTACATAATACCTCTATCAATCTCCTTTCTCTTTGACCCACTGCTGCTTAATATGAGGAAGGAATGTAATATGCTACACATGGGAAGAAAGAAAGGGAACATTCTGGTCAGAATGAGGAGGTAGTTGTTATTTTTCACAATGAAAACAACCTAATTCCTGCCAAATATAATTACATAATCCTAGCATCTTCATAGGATTTTAAAACTAGGAGAGTCAGTCCTGTTGGTCATATCTTCTCAACTTACAGTTAAGGAAAACTAAAAACTTAAGCCCAAGATCAAACAGTAACGTAATGACAAAACTGGGACTTCTGACTCAGTATATAAAGTACTTTCTTTGATATGTGCACATATATAACAAACAATTTTGCAAAGTTCAAAGTTATAGACACAAACATAAACGAATTTCTTCCTATAACAAAAAATGTGCATATAATTTTAAATTTAGCTGTTACACAAAACTTAGGTCCTACATACTCTTTGTTGTTTCTCTACCTCTAAGAGCTTTGTGCCAGTTGGGACAGCTGGAGGAAGGTGAAAATAATTAAGGGGGAAATGTAGGAAAAGAAAAATAGCAAGTTGGTTGAGATAATATAATCAACAGACATGGCTGTTTGGATTAATAGCTACTGAAAAGACAAGATTGAAAAATGGGGCAACGGAACTGCTTCCAGAGGGTTCTCACCCTGAAGTGAGAAAAGAACTAAAGAAATAGTGAAAGACTAGAGCAGTATAAAACTACTGGAATTCCTGTTACATAAGCCAGCTGCCAGGAGTGATAGAATTCCTGAAGCATGAGGTAGTAGAATATGCATTTTTAAACAAGAATCCCAGATGATACCAGAGCAGGTGACCCTTAAGAGAAACGCTGGTCTTTAGGATATTGTGGTCTGGGAGGGTTAAAGGTACTAACAATTTTTGTTCCGGAGTTCTGGTCCATAACTAGGCTTTACTTGATTCTTTCAAGCAACCAGGCAAGGAAATGCCCCAGGCAGTCGAACTCCAGGGTTATTTTATAGTCACCCCAAGGAGCCAGAGAGTATTATGTAATCACTGCCCAAGCTCTAAGATGAAGAGATCAGAAGTTCTTTCGCAAATGACTGTTATGAAGTAGGGTTTTCATTTATCATTAAGTGACTGACTGATTATAAGGATTCTACTATTAGTGTAGAGTGATATTTTGTCATTCACTGAAGAAATCTTTGAGCTTATAGCTAGAAAAAGAATTAGTCATTTTGTATCTACCCTTTCATCTAGGACTGCTGTGTGGTCACAAAGCAGGACTCTGGCCCTCACAGCTTAGTTCCAGTATTTTTCTTTGGATATGGAGATCTGAGGATACAGAAATGGAAAACAAAGCACAAAGCTATGAATAGTTACTTTTTTAAGCTGCTAGGACCACAAATTCAAATATGGTGAAATTGTGAGAAATTCTGAGGATCTGAAAATAGAGTCACCATTTCAGAAACGACAGAAAATGTTAAAAATCAGATTTAAAGTTGCCCAGCAAATTAATTAATTTTTGTGCAGCATTTCAAATCTCCTTCACTACAGTGGAACAGAGAAAAGCTGTCTGAAGTGACATCATCCAATACTTTCTCCCTCTACTATGGGAGGGGTCATATTTGTTTATACGATTTAAGAAAGATACATAATAGAATTAAAATCTATCTATATAGATGTACTTGAGACTGTTGTGCCTGGATACCTGATTATCAATCAGAGAGCTATGATAATAATTTGCTACTGGAATTACGATCTGTGCATTCCAAACATTTTCTTATAAGAGCAAGCCTGTTTGCAATGGATTCAGGAAAACAATACCAATACCCAAACTCTTAATCCTTTTAGGGAATCAGTTCACTGTTCCTATTTCAAGGCAAGGCAGTCATTTAAAAATCAATCTCTAACGTTTCTGTTCACTAGAACACTTTCAAAAATAAGTATAGGCTAACATTTTTACATCCAGATTAACATTATATTCTCAAACAATTTTATAGTATATTAGTGGCCTGTTTTTCAGTAGTAATTTTCATTAGACCATATAAAAATAATGCACATCATATCTGCACACAAATTATTGTGGTTTTTTTTTAAGTTAAAACTAAGTTTACCCTACTGATCATAAGTCTTGAGAAATGCTAACTGAAGTTAGCACAATTTTGGTTCCACTCCTGATTTTGTTTAGACTAAAAGGGAGATTTTGTAAAATAAAAAAGAATTTTATAAAGGACATAAGACAATTTTCTTACGTTCAGTTTCACTTCGCCTAAGGAGTCCTATAAAGATACTGATATAATTTAAAAGCCATTGTCGGTTTTACACTAACATCCACATAGTAATTACTGGTCTTTACTGGCAACATTTGTTTTAATTATCAAATCGACAGCCAGAACCCACTCTGAGCAGACCGTCACCCTGCTTTCTTTCTCCCCTCACCTGCAAGTCCTTGCTTCCTCTCCAGACCCCACCATGAAGTTCACCTGCCAATACCGAAGGGCCGTGGAAAAAAGAGGTAAAGAAGAAAATGCTTTTAAAATTAAGAGGCTTACAGTAGCTGGACTTAGTCCAAGTGCTGTTCAGCCTAGAAACGAAAGTAGGAAGCAACAGAGGTTTAGGCTTGTAATGATGTCAGCCATTTTAGGCACATTATTTATACTGGGAGGAAGTGCCAAACTCTGTTGTTGTTTTTGTTGTTTTGCATGTCGCCGCTGGTCTCCAGGTCCAACGAACCCAGTCCCCGCCCCACGAACACTAATTACCCCGACTGCACCAACGACCGTGAACTCGGCACAATTCTTCAATTCTTTTCTCTGCAGGCCTCCCAAGACCCCGATCCCGCGGTAGGCACCGCTTCCTGCACACGCACTTTCTTACAAAGAAGCTGCGGCCGGACAAGAAAGGTGAGCCGCCCGAGAAGAAAGGAGAGCTCGGCTCTCTCGGGGACTCGCGCCCCGCACCCGGCGGCTGCGCCACTTCGGCGCTTGGAGCCGCACCGGATCCGCGCAGCTCTCCCGGCCGGGCCAAGCGCCCATACCCCCGACCTCCCCGGCCCTCGGACCTTGCAGTCCACACCGACGGCGTCGGGGGGGATGATGAGCGCCTCCTCGCTGCTCTTGGGTTCGTCCTTCTTGGCCTCCTTCTGGGCCAGAGCCGAGTTGAACGTCACCTTCACCATGGCGCGGCCTGGGGCGGACTCGAAACGCGGGGCTGCGGGTTCCTGGCTGCAACTGCAGCCTCCTCAGCCGGGCTCCAGGCGCGGTTCAACAACGGCTATGGAAGACTGGCCAGCTCCAAAGGTGCTGAGGCGGCTACTGCGGCACCGCTCGGGTAGCCTCCCACCTCCCGGGCGAGGGCGGAGACAGCTCGCTCACGCCTCGGGGCGGGGTCGGAGCGGGGAGCACAGGAGAGGCGGAGGCAGGAGGGCGGGGAGCCTGGCGCTGAGCCAGGCGCTCTCTTGCCCCCAGGCCCCACGCGTGATCCAGCAATGAAGGGAGGGGCACTCGTGGGTGAGGGCCTGGATTTTCCAGTCCTGAATTCGCTTCCAGCCAGTTTACCTCCAGGCTCAATGTTGCAGTTTTGTAGCAAAATCAGATGAACTTTCTTGGGATCGCTGCGTACAAACGATTAGCCTCTGGCAGCCCCACGCCGGCCCTTCCCTGCCAGCTGCCCACCCCCACCTCCCCGCGCTCTAAAGACCGTGAAATTTTGGGGCGTCCACACCTGCATTTTCTCACTTTATTATGGAACTGACTCAGTGGGGCACAGAAATGTTTGATGGACTCTATCTTTGGGATCTGAATTCTTTATCTTTCCCAGACCTCACCCAAGGGCGTTACCTGACTCAGACTTGCATTGTCGTCTCCCCCTCCCTTGGGAAGTTAATGCCTGCCCTGCCTAGCCCCAGAGCAATTCTGAGGAAGCCTTTTGGCAGATTTGTATTTCATACATGTCACATTCCTAAAACAAAACGTTCCACTGTTGTGCAGACTTAGACAAAACCCACATGTATACCGGCCTGATTTTTTATTCAACGGAAAGTACTCGGTGATGATGTCTTTAGTAGTTTTCTGGAGAAAAAAAAAGTTAAGGATATAGCAAAATTATATTTTTAAGGGATTTCACATACAACTAATTCGAGAGAGAAAATGGCCCACACTGTCACTGGGTTAATGACTGTATCAACAGATGGCCCTTTGGACAAATGGTTGATCTTGTACCCTTCCCCCACCCCACTCTGTCCTGGTTCCACCAGAGATGTGGGTGTTTCAGCTGTATCAGCTCTGCCCTGAGTCAACAGGGAAGAAAGTAGGTGGAGTCTGAGGTCCTTGGGGATTTGGCTCTGCTCAAGGAAATGATCTTGTCTCTTAGACTCTTCATAGAATTATCAATCAATGAGAAACAGCCGAAGATCTCAGAATCTTTCAGATCATATATTTTCAAATCATCCTATCCTGGCCTGAGCTAGAAACCCAGTTCAGACCTCTCTCTGCTTAGGCACTCTGAAATTCCAGTGAAAATGAATTGTGTTCAATGGAGAATAGGAAGAGTTGGGTTCTAATTCTGGCAAGTTCTGACCCTAGCTAACCATATGACTTGCAGCAGCTTATTTTAACTCCTTGGGCCTCACTTGTTCAGGGATTGACTCCATGGGGTTGACTGTGAACTGGCATGGTTTCGTAGATTTCCTGAGACACTACAAATGAAGACTAAGGAATTCTGGAAGCAAGATCTGGAGAATTATATATGATGATACATAGATCTTCCTGATTCTCTTTTTGTTATGATGTAATGGTGAAAAAATACTCAAGGCATTTTGCACTGGACTGAATGAGGGAAGAAAACAAAATTCTGAGCAACACTGTTAAACAAGTTAGGAAACTGAGGCAAAGGAAGAAAAAAGGAATTTGACAGAACCCAAAATTAGCAGAACCCCTCTCTCCCCCAGTATTTCTATTCTAAGACTCTTGAATAAAAGACCATTATTTGTGTACAAGCAGTGAGCAACAGTTCGAAATCAGTTGGCAGTCTGGGAATAATCTCTTGGTTTTGTTTCTCCGTTTTATCTGGTGTGTCTACAAAACTGTAGTACACAACAGCAGAGATAATAAAGAAGCTGGATCAAGACCAAACATAGCAAGTCCAGTCCCGTGATTTATAAAAGGTTGCCCATTGACCCTGAAAACTAAGGCGTAGGGGAGGAGGAGGCCATGACTCAACAAAAGAAAGTTAAAAACATAGTCATAAGTTACCAATAACTATGGAATATAAGAGAGTCTTAGAAGATTTTTGTTTTCCTTTTTCACACTGATTTTGAGAGAGTAAGAAGACTATTTTTAAAGCGATCCTAGCTTTACATTTCACCTTGATTTCCATGTTTGTTTTTCTGCCTAACGGGAGGGATAACAAAATAGAGTCAGCAAACTTAAATTCAAGAAACTTAGGTCATTTAGATTTGTGTGATATGCTTGGATAGAGATTTCTTTTTTCAGATTTTGTCTCTATACCTCCTGTGTATTCTCCTTCAGGTTTAGCAGGATGATTGGAAAAACATTTTTGCAAGTATGGGGCCCATAGTGAAACAACATCACTGAATGTGCCCTTTGAAATGTTCCCTTAATGCTTTCTCTCTTAGCCCAACTTGTGGCTGTAGCTAGGCATCTTGTGGCTTTGTCTCAGCTTTTATGAAAGGTTTCTTTTAGGCAAAAGATGAAGGCTTTGACTTGCCTCTCTTTAGACTTAAGTAAGCCCTGCTTTTCTTCATTATAACTTTAGATATCCTTTATTGTTTCTCAATTTCTTAGCCCCCAAGTTTATATTTCTTGTCGCCTTCCTACCTCAATACCATGTACATGTATGTTTTTCAATTGTTTTCTTTTATACAACATCATTCTTTTCCATGATGAACTGGCTAGATGAGGTTTGTTATTGTTGTTGTTGGTTTTTTCCTCTCAGAATCTTGAGTTGTAATATGCCAACCCTTTGGGAATTATCCTAATAATAAATACAGTTCTCTTTTGATTTGATTGATTGTGGCATTTGGGATTTTTATTTTGCTTTGTTTTCATTGTGAAAAGACTGGATATGCTCCACACTGGGTGCCCCAAACTTCTAGTTGCCATCTATTGGTCTCCCTCCTCCAAGCATGGTTTTCTAAGTGCATCCCTGCTTAGAATATGTCTCTTCATGTTTAAAAGGAGTGCGGGGTAGTGGGGGAGAGAGAGAAGGTGAGAAAAACAAATTTTAAAAAAGAATGAGAGGGCCTGCCGAGTGGCGCGTTGGTTAAGAGCTGGCTTGGGATGCCAGAGGGCCCCAGTTCGGATCCCACATATGAAGGCCAGTGACACTACCCTCTACAGCTAAGATGCTGAACAACAGCTCAACCTGGAGCTGGGCTGATATAAGTCACTGGCTACGGAGTAGGCTGCAGCCCTAGCTGCAGTGGGTTGCCATGGGCTACCGTGTGTAGCCAGCGACCAGCAGCCAGCGTGAACGGCCAGCAGCCGCCGTGAGTGGCCGTCCAGAAGCTGGCGACTGATCTGCCTCGCCCAGGAAGAGCGCAATGATGGTGCCAACTGGGGCCAGTGAAGCAATGTCCTCCACAACTAGACTGAAGAACAAAAGGACAGCAACTTATCTGTTCCCCTTCCCCCAATTCCCCAGCGCTGTTCCCATCCCCCAATTCCCCAATAAAAATTAAAAAAAAAAAAAAAGAATGAGAAAAATGGCAGAAAGACACAAAGAAAAGGCACAATGATAGTCCAGTGAACAGAATCCAGTCAGAAGACCGGAACCCTAGCCTTTCTTTAACCTCATCATGTCTCATATTTTACGAGTAATACTTAACAAATAAACCAACTGTTGATAGCATGACACTGGTGTCTAGAATGACCTGGAGTGACCTGGCAAGGTAGAAGAGACAGGATTTTAGTTGGAGGAGTGAAAAAGATTTGGTGAAGCAAAAGGAAGAGGAAGAACAGCCCGAGTGGAAGAAATGGTATGAAGAAGACCTAGACCAGGAGATAGGACTAAGCCAGGAAAAGAGCAGCGTCTGGAGGAGGGTGTGTGCTGGTTAATTGTGGGATAACAGCTGGATGGTGAAGGTGGAGCCATAAAATGAGTAGTGTGGAATTTCTTTCTGAGGGGATTGCCAAAAGTTTCTGCAAATGATATGGTTTTTTGTTTTTGTTTTTGTTTTAAGGCTCTCTAAAGATTAATCTGGCTTTCTGGGTGAATGAGAAAGAAGGAATTGCCAAAGACAGAGAAATTTCAAGACCTCTGAGACAGCTTCCCCCTTTCTTTAATGAGGATAAATGACTCTTTTATTTATATTAGAAGAAAGAATACCATATAAAACAACATTGCTAGTACAAGTAATAATGTATAATAAACAGTATGTGTGTTTATAAGTCAAACAAGGTAAAAGACACAAGTACAAAGGCTGGCCAAATATCATAAAAGATCTGCCCTATTCCAGTTAAATCTTACCAAGTGTTATACTGAGCTTAGGACTTCCAGGCAAATGGCACAGACGTGTTGCTGTTATAACCATTATTTTGGCAACAGAGATTGTGGGAGGCCCACTAATATTTCTCTGTCATGACTGCATATATAACCCCCCCACACACACAGTATGTCTGTACATGAGGCTATATGTATACTCTAAACTTTTCAGGGCCCTCTATCACCAAACCAACCTATGTCGCCAGTGTACTCTCTCTCCACTCTATTCTGGCCAGACTTCAGTCTAGGAAATTTGCCCTGCTTATATCATTATCAAAATCATCTATTCTAATTAATACAGAGAAAGCAGGTAGTTTGCCGTTTCAAATTTGTTTTGTTGTAACAAAAGAGGAATATGAAGTTAGTACAAAGAAATGTCTTTCAGTGAGTTTTTTACATGTTTGACTAAATTTACAGACAGTTAGTTTCATTTTTTGTGCACTTTTCTAAAATGAGATAAATCTGAGACATGGAGTTGGACACATACAGAGCCCCTGAAGGCAAACTCTATCTAACACTGATTTTTTAAAAATGCATTAATTACCCTGGGATCTAATTAAAAGTCCCCATGTGATCACAAAATATTTTTTTTCTTTCTTATTTTTAAACCTTTTCCCCCACGGCTGAGACAAAAACAATGCTAACTTTATGTGAATGCCAGTGAATTATTTAACATTCTGGCACTTTAATGAAATAAAGAATATTACTTAAGCCTACCCTCTGAAAATATTGTTTTAAAGTGTAGATGCATTCCTTAGTAGAATGTATGGCAATATGTGCTATCTCCTGGAAATATTTTCATAAACTTAACTGCTAAAATACTTTTAAAATCAATTTTTCTAGAACCTTTATGAGAATAATTGAGATAAT